CTTGTTCTTTTGGAGTTTAACTTCAGTATAATTCTTGAGTTGAATTTGAGTTATAACTTGAGTTGAACTTGTAACTTGAGTTTGTGTTTGGTTGTGTACATTTGAGTTATGGTTTGAGATAAGAATCTTTTTGAGTTTGTGTTTGAGTGAGTCAAAACTTGAATTTGTATTTAGATAGTATTTTAATAAAAACTCAATGTTGATGAAAAATTTTAATAGGGTATATGGGTCGGGTTTTATTCGTCTTTTCGTTGTCAACGCATAGAAAAAAAATCATCTCAATCAGAATTAAAACGAAAAAGTTATAGCATTTTTAAGAATAGAAAAAATATTGTTCATTAATTTGAGTTCGAGTTTCTGAACTCGAGTTGGATGGGAAACTTAAACTCGAGTTTTAGTCCTAAACTCAAGTTTAAACTTAAAAGAACATGAACTCGAATAAAGTTGTAACTCGAGTTATATTTTTTTTAAGTTTTTCACTCAAAAGAACAAGCTTATAGTCTCTTAGATCCATGATCATTGCTAGTTAACTATACTTTGTTATTTAGAAGGATACATAGATACAGATATATATATATATATACACATATATTTTTATTATTATTAATCTTTTTAGAGAGAGTGCATAATAAGGATTTTCATTTATTAACCTGCCAAATTTGGATCATAAGGTCAGATAGGAATCTACCCGTGCTTGATATACGTATGAACATTATTGCTTTTTGGGTTTCGTTCTTTTTTTTTCCCAGCTAAAATTTGGGTTTTGATTGATAAGAGCAAAGGAATCTACACGTTCAGATAGTTTTAGTTTTATTTTTTTATTTATTTATTTTTTGCTACCTTCATCTAAGTTTGAATGTTGGGCTTAGACCCAAAGGCCGAAACTAGTTTTGAAACCCAGGCGCCATTGTGGTCTCTCTTTGGGCTGTGGCATCTAAAGGCGAAAATGAATATGACAAGAAAGCTTGAAAAAAAAAAAAAGAAAAAAAAGAATATCATAGCCATAGACTACAAATTACTGACAAACAACACCAATGATTCTAGATGACATAGACGAAACAAGGTCATTTTCCGTTTTCAAAACAACTCTAAAACGTGAAACAAAATCAAATTCTCAATAAAAGAAGTAAATAATAATGTACGTGTCTATATATCCCTAGTTTTAGTTATCTATTTATTTTTATTTATTTTTTTGCATATGTTGCTGTGTTCAGCACTAGAAAGGACAAATCATAAACTGCATCTATTGCAAGGACATAGACGAATAGGTATAAAATCAATCTCTCAATAATATGCATGTTCAGTTTCAACAAAACTATCCAATTTGTACATAATCAATATTCTGATAATACGATCTGCATATATATAATATGAAAAAGACGTATATATGAAGTTGCATATATGCGCTGCTTTATGTTTCTTCTTGGAGGCTGGATCAGAAGATGTCCAATACAGACACAATGACGGCAGTACTATTCATACTGCCAAAGTGATCCTTGGGCTTGCAGGATTTCAGTTTAAGCCAGTTCTTATTCTGATAGCATTTGACTATCTTCTTGCATATCACCCAAAAAACTTTTTTGATTTTTTTTTTAACACTTTTCCATTTTTGTGATCCTGCAAAAAAAAAAAAAAAAAAAATAATAATAATAATAAAATAAAAGAAAAATGGTTTGTAGTTCCTGAATTAAGCCTATAAAAAGAGATGGTTCATTAGCAGTTACCTGTCCTCAAAGAGGCTAATAAGTGAACCAGCATGAATGAGTTCCCTGCTAATTCGCACCTATCCCAGAACAAAATTCCAATGTAAGTAAAGCACAGGTAAATAAGTAAAAAGTACGTATAATTGATGAAGGAAAAAAACAAAAAAAAAAAAAGCATTACCAGTTTTGATAAGTTCCCATCAAGCCACATTCATGGATTGGAGGGACTAAAGTCAGCTTCCCTGGCCATTTGACCAATTTCCCATCTGCAACTTCATTTAGGCCTCTCTCATTTTGCATTAATGGGGCCAAACAGTTCTCCATTATTGTGAAGCTACAAAAGAATTATTGGGGTTAAGTGAAAAATAGTCGATTTTGGAAATGATTTTCTGTTCATGGAAGTAAAGAATTTCAACTTTTAATTAGCTGCTATAATGTGTGTTTCTTTGCAGCCAATTAAGAACTAATCCTAGATTAAAAGAACAAAAAGTTGACAAGAAAAGAACAGTTTGAAGATAATAAACTGATGCACAACTAGTGGATCATATATCTCATGGGGGTTTTGGTGTCTTACAATAAAGAACTATCTCCACAAACAGAAGTTGAGGTTTTCATAAGATAATAAACAAAAGTTTTATAAAGAGAATATCATAAATTAATTAAGAACCGAAAATCTCAGAAATGAAGCCAGATTATGTTGAAAAGTTACCACGCCATGACTGGATTCTGATCACGGTGAACATGGTTAGCGGGTTTTTGCCAAATAACAAGAGCAAGATTATCCTTCTGCTCCAATTCCTTCCAGCACGCACCTTTTTCCATTACCTCAATCTCAAGCTGCTCAGCTTGGAGATCTTCTTCTGTTTTTTCCCAACCTTTCCACTGTCTCTCCCAACTCACAATTAGTAGACCCGTCGAAATCCAATAGTACCCACCGGGATGCAGAATTCTAACATCCTCAATTAAGTAAAGCTGATCACCTACACAAATGAACTTAAATTCAGGAACAACTAGTCTTGTGCCCCAACAAGGTAACATAAGAAAATAAACCGATAAAATAAAATAAAAAATAAATAAATAAATAAATGCAATCTTGAAGTAAGAAAATTTGATTACCATAGGGAATTAGGCAGCGTGAGATGTGAGCCATGTCAAATTCCCTTGAAGGGTAGGAAAGTCCGATGGATGCAAGGATTTCAATTGAAGGTGTCAACAACAGTTTCTCAACCTGGTGTAAAGAACAGACCATTTTCATTAAATTTCAGTTTCTCAATAAGTTTGATTAATCTAAGTGATAAATTGGCGTGTAGATTTAGAGAGCTGAGATTCTGAGTCAAAACAGGGTGAAATTGTTGAGGGAAAGATGACGTGAAACTAATCATATCTTCTTTCTTTTTAACTCAATTAGCGATATTTAATTACAAATTTCAACGCATTTTTTTTTTTTATCGTAGAAAATTCAAGACATATTTATTACTGAAAAGATCATGGAAAAGTACACTACAAGGTCCTTTGTACTAGTAATCAATGAGGGAACATTAAAAGAGAAAAACAAAATAACTGCTCAGGTTGACAAACATCTTCTTTACGAATTAACTTAACAAAAGACTGAACGTCTAATTGCAGCCAAGTTATTAACAACTTCAACTTTATGAAAGCGCAAAGTTTGCCGAGAACTAGTTTCACTCCTATTGTTGATCAAATTCTTGTTCTTACGACAGAAAAAAGAATTTAAAGAAAAGGAAGAAGAACGAGTATCTGAATCTTGATAATCAAAAGATGAACTTTACCTGGCCGGCTGTGGCCGCAATGTGTCTCCCCAAGCTCATTATTGTCGGAAAAACGCGAGGTATATCGATAAAACAGTCAACGGGAGAATCACGATAATGAGTCCGCCTGCCATATTTGCAACTTCTGGGGAAACTTTTCCCGGTCCCGGAGCTGAGACTTTCCTGACCTTGTAGCCAATAATTGTCTTGGCATCTTGTCTGGCCATTAGGCATCCTCGAGTATCAATCTTGAAAAAAGAAGAGGAAAAAAATAAAAATCAATCAATCTTTGTTTTACAAAGCAGAGACGTAGAGGGAGAAGATCAGGAGAAGTTGTTGAGAATTTGCCAAGAAAGCACACCAGATTTCATGCAATTCTTAAAGAAAATCAAAGACAGCCACACAATTCCCGAGAAGAGAAAAATCTTCACATGCATTAATCAGAAGAACGATTTCAAAACACTAACCAAGAGACGGCTAAGTTAGACTTTCACAGAAATCCTCTCTCTAAGAATTCTCTCTCTCTACTTCCCAAGACATCAAACTCTGATCAGCAACCCCCGCTTATACAGCCTATTCCTATATCGGGGCCTAACTAATATAACTCCGACTAACATTTATATAACGACTAGTTATTTTAAAAAACTTGCCACTTCAGTACTTGATTACTAATAGACTCACTTAACTAACAACCTCCATCGTGAGTCTAATATCCAATTCAATTCTTTATTGTCATCTGGTCTTCTCATTCTTCTAATCCGAGCGTCCGAGAATTTGAGTGTAAAGGATGAAAAGAAATACATAAAATATAAGGGTTTGAGATATATAAAAATACTTTTTTTTAAGGTTTTATTTGCACTCACTTCTTAAAATTTGTTAATGAGTTTCTATTGTAAATTACCCTCAAGATACAACAAACTCTTAAACACAATATCTAACAATAATATTGTGTTTCAGAACATGAAAAAAGCGTTAGACAATAAGATGGAAAATACAAAAAAATAATAACAATATATATCAACTTGTTGCAATGAAAAGTGATGCAACACGAATTCAACCGTCAACCGAACTTGAAAAAAGTGAATTGAATTGAGAAGGATGATGTCGAGACACGTGTATCGCGCTCTCCTTAAGACAGATTCGTCCCCTCCGGCGAGCGCTTGAAGTTACGTTAGACGTCCGTCTCCCAAGAACCAACAACAACGACGGTAGCATGAAGCATTATCGAAACCGTCCGGTGAACTAGAACTTGCACATTTCCTCTATCACCAAAACGAACTTCAAGACTGCAAAGGAACTCGCGAAAACTGAGAGACAACTAGCGGAGAATGTGTGTATTTTGTGTTCTGTGTGTTTTCCTTCATGTGGAGAATGCCTTATATAGGCTCTCCAAAAAGATGTTACAAGAAATGGAATTATGGGGATTTAAACACACACCACAATAGAGCAAAAACTATTCAATTTTTTTTTTAAATAAATCCGGCCACATTTCTTCACCTAGATTCCGATTTTGATGATGAAAAACTAAAGCCATTAAGCTCATTAACCATGGCAAATTCGATTTTCTTTCATTAGTCACCATCAAGCCCCATTACACACCATTAAGGACACCATTAAGCTCATTAACCAGGCCAAACAGTTTTGACAGAATGTGGACAGTCTTGGGCAGAAAAAAAATTACAAAAAAAGGCCCTCACGGAGTAGGCTTTTCGGTCCGACATTCGTGTCCACAGGTTGCGGGTGCACACAATGGACTCCTAACCCTCTGGATCCGTTATTTGCATCCCCATGCGCGTGAGAGAGCCTCTCAAGTATACATGCTTACCTAGTCTTCAAAATGCAATCACTTAGATACACCACCAAGGCTTCATTCCTAACCAATGTGGGATTTTATAATTTCCATCCAATTTAACTATTTCAAGTGGCATACTTAGAACATCCATTTTTTATTCACCTAATATCCATTTTGAATGTGTGAATATCTGATTTTGAACTTCTAGTGACGGAAAATGCAAATTCATTGAGATCTGTCCCAAAATCTAATTCAGCATCTTTCCAATATGGACCTTAAAATAGGCCTTTAACATGACTTATCAAGCTATTTTTCTAACAAAAGGTATGTAAATTTTAAGTCTCTATTTTAAAATTTTGAATAACTGAATATTAAAAAGTCCTATTCTCATAAGAGATAACACATATAGTAAATGTGTCTGACGATAAATCATAAGTTTCAGCTATATTTTTATTGATCTTCTTTTCTCCTGATTTATTAATGATTAATGATAAATTCTAATAACTATTCTATAAAATAAGTATCCAATTATTATTATTATTATTATTATTATTATTATTATTATTATTATTATTATTATGCAATAACTGACTAAGAAAATGATTATGGCTAGTTTCGAAGAAAAAAAAAAGTGAAAAAAAAAGTGCAGATATGGTGTTAAGAGATAATAATGGAAAAGGCATACGGTTCAAAAAAAATTATTAAACGATATAAAACAGGTGAGGCAAGACTTGAGTTTGAGAAGACGTGGATTTTATCCCCACCATATAGATGAAAAAGATAGTCTAAATTTGTTACTTTATTTAGATATATATTTAAATTTGAGAGATGGGATATATAAAAGTAAAAATTAACGCATAAATGAAGCTTTAATACATTTTATGAAAAAGTGGGGAAAAAGAGTAAAAAAAAAAAAAAAGATAGATGGTCTTTTTTCTTGTAGTCACATACCCCATAGTAAAAAGGAAATATCCGTAGGAAGATATTGCTACATGGCCTAATCAAATTCAAATCCGACTCCGAATCAAACTTGAAGGAATAATTAAGAAATTTCAGTAACTATAAATATCAGATATAATTAAGCAGTGCAAGCGTACTACACAATCAAACACCAAAGATCTACTCTAGTCTTTTCCAACCTCAATCCTCTTTTCTTTTTTGCTATTTTCTCCTTTCAATTCCCTTGTTACTAATCTAAATTACAATGGTCACTAAGCAGTTTTTAGCTTCACTTTGGAGAAGACTTTATTATTCTTCATCCAATTCGAACGACACCGAGTCGAACGATTTGGCCATCTTGAAAGGTTTTTTTTTTTTTTTTTTTTTTCATATAACTCTTCACATTTATTTTTCTTTCTTCCAACTTTAGCTATTTGTGATGAAAATCAATCAAATTAAAATAAACTTGTTCCAATTTTAACGTGTGTTATATTGGTTCATTATTATATATTATATATATAAGGCATGCATGTTAAGCGTCTAATTTTCTTTTCCTGTTTTTCTTCTATATAAAAAAAGAGTTTTTGACGTATATGACATTAATTATTTTTGAATTATTATGACATTTAATCAATTTGTTATTAATTCCGAAGTTTTCATGTAATACTCTCAGCAAGAGAAGCTAAACCCAGTCACCATTTGTTGAAGATTGAGTCCTTTAATAAACTTTCTGAAAATCTATCGTCGCCTTACATCGCTGAGGAGTTTACGGCAGGAGGCTATACATGGTATGTTCTTAGCATTCTTATATTAATCCTAAAAAGTGTTGCATTATTATTTTTCAAAAAAAAAAAAAAAAAAAAAATTCTATCTCTAGATTTGCAAAAGTATTTAGTTTAGAACAAAAATACATCTTTGAAATTTTTGTAATTAAATTGGGCGTGCATGGCAGGCTTCTTTGTATACACCTGCAGGGTGATGAAGAGAATGATGGAAAAAATCATGTTTCTATTTATTTGGAAGTGACAGATTCGACTGATCTTCCTGATGGTTGGGAGATTAATGCTACTTTCAATTTCTTTGTATACGATCAGATTCGGGACAAGTACGTTGGTCTCCAAGGTATATATCTATATACATATTCTCCATATACGAACACACACCGACACACACACATATATAATAATATAATATGATATCGTTATTTATAAATTACACAAGTTGTAGTAGCAAATTGTATTGTACCTTTTCCACTGTTCAATATTTATTTTATTTTATTTAGTTTATTTTTTGAGAATATGTAGTGCTCAAGAATTTAATACAATATACGAAAACTAAAAAACAATTTAGTATTAATTATTGTTCAAGGTTAATAATAAGCATTTGATCAAAGTATATACATGCATGTATAGGATTGATCATATATAATTTATACAAATATTTCTAGGAACTTTTTCTAGTAGTCTCTATAATTATAGATTACCAGTTGTCTTTTACTCTTTAGTCGTTAAATCAATATCAGAATATGTTTGTTCTGTGTACTATTTTAATGTTATCTGATTTTAATCAGATCCAACAATCACAAATTAAAACTACTAGTATAGTAGACTACCGAAAAAACTCTCATATTTCTAGGGATTTTCAAGTTTGAATTTCCTTATAAGAGATTTGAGCTTTATTCTTATAGTACTTGAAAAGCACTCACTTCACTTGTAATTACACGTAGAGGCGCGAAAAAGACGTTTCTACTCAATGAAGAACCGATGGGATCGTCACAAAATTTATTGATCTTAAGACGTTTAACAACCCATCAAAAGGATACCTCATCAATGATATCTGTATTTTTGGAGTGGAGGTTTTCATTTCATGCACCCAGATGCATCTGAGGATGATACGTGAACCCGAAAGAATTTACAAATTTAAATGGCAAGTTGACAATTTTTCAAAGAAAATACGTGATAAGTGGTACAAATCTGATTATTTCGTTGCTGGAGATTATAAATGGTACGCACGTATAATGTTTGATATACAACAACAATATTAATAATGTTATTTGCAAAACTAACAGATTGTATTGTTTGAAAACAACTTATATTTAATCAGTATATTATGTATATTTTGGTGCCTTAAATGCAGGAGGATGTTGTTGAATCCAAATTGTCATGCTTTGAGTAAAGGAAGCATTACAGTTGGTCTGGAATTCGATACTTCAGCCATTCCTCCCAATAATAGGCTGCTTATGAATTATCTTCTTCGGTTGGTGGAACAAAACAACAAAGATGAAGATATTGAAGTTTCTGGTGAATATATATATATATATAATGTCTTTTTTATTCTAGTTTTCCTTCTTATATATTCTCTTTCATGAATTGGAAGAAAGATTTTTAATTATAAGTTTTTACCTAATTTCTTTTCTTTTCGTTAATTCAGGTAGTGGTTTATTCTACTCCTCTAGATATACAGATCCTTCGAGTACTTATGGAGATTGCATCCTAGAAGGAGA